TGTTCCGCAGGTAAGAAAGTTTATTTAACCTGACAACCTCTAGTTTGATGTGATTGGTATGTGAGTTGTATGATACTTGTTCACTGTGTAATGATAGGTGTTGATAGGAGAGCTTAAGTTTATATTACTAGCCCCTTGTTTAAAAACATAAATGAAATAACAATACTGCTGTACAATGCATGGTTATACTGATATACCTTAAGAAAATATATAACCAATCCTATAAATAGTGAAGAAGATTGGGGTCATTTAAAGAAATGGTATAAACACCTATTAAAAGAAAAAGACGTAATATTAGATAATGTTATAATTATGTGTACACAAAAAGTAAAAGAAGAATTAAAAGGTTTTATTACCCTACAAAGGTCCCCCCGTTCCTCCCTCATTAATGTTTAAATATATATTTTACTTAAATGTTATTTGCAAAAAACAATAGTTTTTAAAGTTCAAATAGTTTATATTTTTTTGAAAACATGCTGGCTTTGAGTTGTATTCAGTTCAATCAGCTGATCTGAGAGTTAATTATATACACAAAAACACGGAGACAGTGATACATTGATACAAGGAAACAAGACCATATATTTTAAAAATATAATTTGAATATTGATCTTCAGTTGTATTATTTTAAAAAACGATTATTAGAATGAAAATTATCAGAAATGGGTGTATATTCATTAAAAAAGGGTAATTTCACGTTCTTTCTGAACCAATTTAAAGCCACTAAAAATTTGTACAATCACTAAAATGAAAGTAATGTTGTTAAATTCAGTCATAATGGAAAAGTGAATTAATAGTTCCGACTTCTACACACCTGATTGAGTGTACAATTTTTGCTATGCTATACAGGATAACAGGGGTTCCAAAAATAAAAGAAACAGATTTACCTGAATATAATGATACAGTTATACTGGGATTAAACCATGAAGGGATTTTAAGTTATACAAAAAGGAAAGATTAAAGCATACAGGGATAGAGAAATATACATAGATAAAAGACAGCCAGAGACATGCTAACGCAAATAAGTATATTCCTAGAGAAAGATTTTTGGCCCCCCCCCTCCTCCTATCAATTATGTACATGGATCTTATAGAATGTGTCTCAACTTATCCTAACCTGTGTCCGAAGTGCTCAGCCCCCTAGCCCTTCCTAACCACAGCGCTCAGCCCAGAAAGTGTCTTAACTAACCAACCTGTGGGCGCAGCGCTCGGTCCCCTTGCCCATGCTAGCCACAGCACTCGGCCCAGAAAGTGTCTTAACCTAACCTAACCCTAAATAATAATAAATAAATACTAATTTACTCATGTACAAAATTGATAGGAGGGGGGGGGGGTGTTCCAAAATTGTTCACTAGGACAGACCCCACTAATGAAAAGGTACTGTTAGTATCGAAAGAAAAATAGAAAGACATTTAAAGATTAAGAGCAGGTGTGTAAAATGATTATTAAAGCCGGGTTGGCTTAACTATTGGGTGGAAAAAACAGTTTTTGACAAAAAATGTGTATTCTTTTTTGCGTATCATCTGCACAAATAGTCGTAAAAACTTGTGTTGCCACACAAAAGATAAACAAGAACCTTTAAAATGCACCAGAAAAAACAGAATGAAAAAATAGTCAAAAATGACAGAGTGACGGGCAATACCGTGAAAATATTTGAGAAAAATAATTTCGACAATTTAT